CCCCTCCGTCGTCAAAAAATTTTCGGTCAGTGTACCATTTTAGGGGTCAAAAATTTTTCCGGAAAATACCAAAATTTTCCGTTAAGTTAAAAAATTTTTTTAAATTCCAAAAATTTTCTAAAATTTTTGTAAATTAAACTCGTTCTTTACCAAATTCACAATTATTTTTGTTAATTTACTCATGATTTTCCCAGAAAAAGCGTCACTGGAGATGTGATTTATCACGTAGTATTTTACAACTAAAAGGGCACTTCTGCCCCCTGCCCCCCTAGCAAAAGGCAAGGGGGGCAGCCGCACCCCCCCCCTGCCCCCCCAGTTCCGGCGTCCCTGGATCTGACATGGTAATTTATGTTACTGTAGGTGTTAAACTATTTTAGTGCAGGTTTATTAGCATAGCATGATCGTTTCGTCACTGCTACCAACTCTCGTGCATTCTCATCCTCGTTTGATCCCGTATCAGAGACAAAATCGAAGTTTTGACTGCGCATTCAAATGCGGTGAATCACAACATATAGCTAAGAATGGAATAATTAAGCCTGGTTTACACATCAAAGTTTCTGTGATCACAGAAGGGATTTTGCATAGGTCAATTCTAAGTTTTGAAGGATTCAGTGTGAGATGTTTGAAGGAACTGACCCATGCACATGTCAACACTGTCTTGTTCCAAAGGGAATACTTGTCCCCAGGGTAATGGTATTGTTACTCTTTTCAGTGTTTGCCCCACTTGGCAAATGGCGTCACGAAAACCGAAAAGGCTTATTGCATTGGAGCTATAGTGGGCATTTCTCTCTTTTTTGTTCCAATTGCAGTATACTTCATAATTAGCAAAACAGAGATGTGCATGTAACATTAAGCATTCAACTAATAAGAAGTAAGAAGCGCTACATACTCTGCATAATTAACAATTATAGATATCTTAACCAATACAGACCTTGAGTGAAAATAAACATTTTACTGAGGAGCAGCTGTGAAAGATACAACCATAGCCCACGCATTTTGGTACAGTGAGCTAAAGTGTCCAATGTGCTGTTGCCCCAGCGACTAAAAAGGGTATAAGGGCGTCGTCCGGTATAGTACACACATAAAAACGCACAAGTTATAACAAACTTGCAGCAGACTAGTAGTAGCAATGCTGTTCCAACAAGTTGTCAACATGCAGTATATATATATATATATATATATATATATATATATATATATATATATATATATATATATATATATATATATATATATATATATATATATATGTGTGTGTGTGTGTGTGGGCACTACTGCTCGTTCCCAGCTTGTTGGCAACTTGGCAACGGCTTGTTTTCGACCCGCAATTCAACAATTTGTCAACAACCTGTGAGTGACAATCTTAATTGTATCATGGATTGTAAAATAACTTTTTTACAATCCATGATTGTATCAATTTGATAAAAACACATGCTTGCTATAAGCCTGTTGCGAACACATCCTTTTGAAAAGTTGTGGGATTTTTACTGTGAGATTATTCTATGTGCAAGCGGAACATTCTATCACGAATTAAATTGGCTATAAGGATAATACCACAATGACAATTTGGCCGAAGTACACTTTATGTGTAAATTTTGCTATGAGTATTTGAAGTGCATAAATGCATAATTTATTATACCGTATAGGCGCATGGGCCTAAATTAACACTGATTTGTAACTGTTTATTGTCTATAACGAAATAACTCTTAAAACTGTACAGTAACTTCTTACTAAAGATATTTGTTTCGTGTTTCATTTTTCAAGATATTTCCCTTTCTTTGAACAAGCAATGCAACCAATTGACGTCATGCAAAAGCTAATTGACGTCATCAAGCAGCATGCATGCATATAGGACAAGTACATAAGTATAGCAAAATTTAAATACCTTTCAAGACCGATATGGTATTGGCTTTCGCCATGAAGTACATTCCACACCGACAACAGTACTTAATTGAAAGTAAAATAGGCTTGAATTAAAACATTGTACACCGCTTTGTATTTTTTTAGTCAACAAACTAGTTGATTTGTTTGGTAGAAGGTCCTGAAGGGGTAAAATGGGAACTGGGATTTGCGATTTTTTTAAGAACAGCTACATAAGCTACATGTTTTTTGTCGTAGTTTCGTTTTTGCCGATCTTGCGCCTTTCGTATGTTTTCCATCGCCAAGTCGTGCACCGATTTCTTAAATTTTAGGAGCTGTTCGACCTTGGTATCCAATGAGACTTGTGTAGAATCTTGGTCGTCACAACGAGGACTTCCTTTCACTGCTAATTCGATTGGCAATTTTGGTTCACGACCATACATCAGAAAAAATGGGCTAAACTTTGTGGAGTCGTTTTTAGATGACCGATAACAAAACAGAATGCTGTCTAGGTTGTCTTCCCAGTTATCTTGATCTTCGTTGATTATTTTCACTATGGCACTGCGCACAAAAAATACACATTTTACTATTATATTTCAAATTCTTAGACAAACTTTGTAAAATTAGATGTGATTGTACTGATTACTAAATGCTTACTTTTCCAAAGTCTGGTTGAACCTTTCAGTCAATCCATTTGTTTGGGGGTGATACGCACTGGTAATGCGGTGATCAACACCTGTACGAGGGAAGAGCTCGTTGTTTACCTGTAATAATAAAATAATAAAAAGGTTCTGTAAAAAACTACAGCTTATTCTGACATGAGCATGTTATACAAAACAATCTTCAGTACCTGGTTTGCAAATACCCTCCCCTGATCACTGATTACGATGTCCATACACCCGTATCGCAGTATCATCTTAAACAAGAAGTCTGAAACACACTTCGTACTCTTGTTGGGAATGGCTTGTGCTTCTGGCCATTTAGAAAAGTAATCAGTCATGGTGGCTATGTAGCTGTTTCCCTGTTTGCTTGCCTTGAGTGGCCCAATCAAATCTATACCCACCTGTGGCAAAAATATTAAGTTATAAATAGTAATACTAAGGTATACTAAAATACTAAGGTTTACCAGCATACTAAGATTTACCAGAATACTTACTTGTTTCCACACATCTGACACAGGTATTGGATGCAGCTCGGCATGCTGTTTCCCAAGTTTACCATCTACGCGCTGACAGACATCACAGGTTGATACATACTGTTTCACATCACTCATCAAGCCGTGCCAATAAAATCTCTCCGAGATTTTTCCATACGTCTTATCGCGCTTGAAGTGTCCCCCACCAATCTCAGCTTCGTGACAATCTCGAAGTATTTCCATTTTTTCCTCCATCCGTACTATACTCTCCTTTCGCGTAGCCCAAGTCCATCGGGTCTCATGTCAACGTAATACAGTACCCCGTCTTTCGCAACAAATTTGTTACTGTTGGTAGTGTTTGCACTTCTTTCTGCGACTTTACGTCTAATTGCTCTTTTTTGTTCTTTAGATATGCCCGCAGGATACTCCCCTCTAGTGAGGTAGTTCACGATAGTTTCGTATTCGCTGTTCTCCATGCTGCGCTCTTGTTAAAATTGCTTACAACACTGACGGATTTTATGTAGCTGCATGTAACCTTTGTAACGGAATGTTTTTGTGAGTCATCCAAACCTTTGTGCTTTTGTGTTTGCGGAATGTTTTGTTAGTCATTCGAACCTTTGTGCTTTTGTGTGTGCGGAATGTTTTTGTGAGCCATGAAGCATGCAGTCTACGTCCGTTTTTACGGAATGCTTCTGTATAATCGATCATATGATTGGGATGCATTACATATTGTGTATATGTAAGTAAAATGCATAGGAAAAGTTTTTTTTACGAAATAACCACACATTTGATTTTGTTTTTCGAACAAACGTTTCGACTTAAAAGTCTACTTTTACCCTACTAATGCTAATTACTCCCTGTCATTTATTAGACGCGTGGATATTAACATATTCGCCAACGCATGATGTCATCGTTTGCTATAAAAGTGCGGTTGC